TTTATTGTTAAATTTGATGTGAACAAAACCTGATTGATTCACTTTTTTTCAATAGATTTATTCAAATTCATTGTAATTTACTTTGAATGGCCTACATTTTTCAAGCTTTTAACAAATTTCAAACTATTTTTGACATCAAATTAATATGAATATAATTAAAGAAGAATACTCATTAAATAACACTTGTTAAAATTAACAAGAACTTTTATTTTGCTTCACTATAATTACTAAATAATATACATATAAATAAAAAAAATAAATTCTTAGAAATTTTAATGTTATTATTTTTTTAATGGGAGAAAGTTTGGTTTAAACATTTGAATATTAAATTAAATCTGTTTAGAAAATTACCCGAGTAAATCAGTTAGTAGGTAAAGAGTGAAAATATATAAAATGAAGATCGAAGAAAATTATACTATAGGCTGCTTTCTATTTCTATACTAGGCAACCAATATACAGGGTGTCTCATTAATATCTGTAAGTTTTTTAAGGAGTCGTATAGATCTGGACAAAAGAAACTATATTTTCTATTTACCATTTTTAAAACAAATTAAAAATATCCATGAGTAACTTACATTGAAATTTAAAAAAAATAACGCTTACATTTTGGGAATCGTTTTTTCGTTTCATTTTAATAAAATATTGTTATAAAGGTACAATATGATCGAAAAAAAAAGACAGCGTCAGCGATGAAACGAAGATAGCTGTCATTTTATATGTAAAATTATATGGGGAATCTCACTGATGTTCATTTTCAAGCTAACTAGACGCTGTTTTTTTTTTCGATCATACTGTAGTATAAAATCTATTAAGTGACTGTCTAACATATAAGAATATATTATACCATAAAAAAAGAGGCATCACAGTAGCCTATGAAATGACATCGATAATATATAATTTCTGTCTTGAATATAAAACCCGTATGGACGGCACTGTTGGAAATAAATAAAATTCTTTGTACACCAAAACAAATATTTTAATGCATAGAAGACGTGTATCAAGTTTCATAAGGATATCTGTAATAAAATCACAGTTATTATGAAAAAAAGTTTTTATTTTGGAAACTTTTTTACCACCCTGTATCTCAGAAATTAGGATTTTTAGGACATACATTCGTATGAAGTTTTTCTCTAATTGGTCCAAGAATCGCCTCTTTAAATATTAGCATGTCATTAAGGAACACCTTGTATGTAGTTCATTAAAAATAATATAAAAATGTATAAAAAAGTCTATAGCTTCTAAACACAAATCTACATATTTCCAAAAAATAATTATTATTACTAAATTGCGTCTGACTGATTTTACAAGTTTTACAATTTTTCACTTAAAAAATTATTGTTTTTTCTATTTCACTACAATGTAAATTAAAAAAAAACATAAAAAAGACTTAAAATAGATTTTTTTTGTACTTACAAAACTTCCATAACTTCGCAACCCAACAAAAGTTTCCTAGGACCCAGTTCCACAACAGCTATAGTCTGATCATGAAAATAAACCATCCTCATAGAATTCTTGTTAGCCCTCCAACCACTGTACCTCTTCAAACCCTTACTTTCCTCCCCATTCTGCGCCCAAGAACCAGTGAACCTCCCGAACCTAAAGGAAGGATTCCCATCGGCACTTTGACCAAGTACCATCAGAAAACCCATCCACAACACCAAGGAAAAGCAGAAGTTTTCGATTAGGGACATGTTTCGGTGGTACCACGCAAATGCATAGTAGAACCAAGGCGGTTAAACGGTGTGGTACCTTAAATTACTACTGCGGTACCTCGCGCGTGTTCTCGCTTAAACTGAATCAATTTAAAATGAGGTTTTTCTTTAGGAAAGTGAATGGTATAGTATAGGCTGTACAGTACTGGGTATTAGATCAGTGGATTTCTCGTCTAATTTATATGACGTAGCTTCTTGTATTTTCCGAAGATCGTCTGCCGTTGGTAATACCAAGAGTTCCCTGTATGGATTTTTGAATGACGATATTCCATAAGTTATTTCCACAAATTCTTTAAATCATATTTAGGATATTTTTAAGTATTTGTATTTGTTATTAATATGAACAAATATATTTTTTTGTCTTGTAAATTTTTGAGTAGCAAAAAAAATTGACGTGATCATTTTAAAGACTTGAGTGAATGACGTTACACTTTTTTTACGTCAAAAACCTTCCGGACTTTTGTGTGAACAATGTGATACAGGGTGTCCCATTTTCGTGTGCTTTATGAGGTTTCTCGTTTATGAGTAGAGATACAGAGATATAGTTTTCACATTGCTATGCTATTTTTTTATGAAACTATTCAATGAAAATGGCAGATCCCAACGAAAAACTAGTTACGCCACTGGATTCTACGTGAAAAACTCAGTTTTTACCTTTTCGATAAGTTATAAAATAACCGAGATTCTGTATTTCAGGAACTAAGAGGGTTAGGTGTGAAAACCGCATTTTTGTATCTCATAAACGAGAAACCCTGTAAAACATACGAAAATACTCTCTGTACATTAAATAACTTTTGTGCATTTATCTCTTGCAAATAAATTAAAAAAAAACAACTTATTATTGTGTTTTAATTTCTATTAATATAAATCTAAATATCTTTAACTTATTTTTTCCTGTTGGGTAAATCTCTGTAATGATTATTATAAATTCTGATTTTACCGGACTATAACAACAAATAAAAAAAGCGTTCTGTAGGTCACCAGAAGAAATTTTATAGTGCGCTGAATGGCGATAACTACACTGATTTGCATTCATAAAATTTCTTTATTTTTTTTCTCAAACTAAATCTTTCAAGATTTTTTTCTGCAATTTTTTTAATAAAGTTTTTTTTTTGTTTTATTAATATCTTATAACAATGTATTTATTTTTTATATAAATAATAGTTCAAAATTAAAAAAAAATAAACTTTTTTAAAATTTATAGTAACGCCATCTTTTAACGTTTATCAAAACTACAATCATTATTTTTGTTTCTTATAAATTGTGACACATTAACAATTGTTATTGAATGTCTTGATTCATAAATCGGTTTTAATACAATATACTATATAAATTTTTGTTTCAGGTTAATTAATTGTAGACACTAAAAATTATAATTTGTTATTAAAAATAATAAAATGCTTGAAAAAAATATTTAACAACCTATTTTCTTAGAAAAAGATATCTAGAATTGAAAACCTAATTTAAATTGATTTATAAAATATAGGCAACCAGTAAAACTGCAAATTGTTTTTTGAGTTGCATAACTAAGAACAAAGTTACGCACTTTTTTCAGTTATTTTAAAAACTGAACATTTTTTAGTGCTTTTCTAGTAATATTACTATTACAGAGATTGCCTATGACTTTTTTATGTTACTTTTGTCAAAAATAACCTGTTTTTAACGAATTTGATTGATTTATTTGACTAATTCGGAGATATTTACCATCAAAAATATCAAGAAAAAAAACATAATGAATATTTCGTCTGTGAGATCGCTGGAAAGAAATAGCAGACTAACTTTGGCAATCGCTAAAAATAGAGCTGAGGAAAATCAACTTAAAGTCGAATTAGGGTACTTAGATAATGAGAAAAAAACCGCTCTGAGAATTTTGCAAAACGACCGAATATCTTTTAAGACAAAATATTCAAAGAGTACCATGCTGAACGACAGTTCCAACTCTTTAAACGACGTAGGTTCCTAAATAAAATTATTATACGTTGCTTAATAGTTTTTATATTTGTTTCAGACCTTGAACAAATATTATGTCCCTGCTGATTTTGGAAAAAACGAAGAAATTATGGGTTTCAATATACCCAAGTCGAAGCATTCTTTTATAGCTTTTGAGGTAGGGTTTTCTTTATATACAGGGTAGGGTCTAGTCTATTGAAAAAGTTCCGTAACAAGAATTTTTCTATTTGATGTGAAAAAATACAGTTGGTCATCCTGTATACAGGGTGGTCCAAACTGTATTCCGAAAACTTTAGCATATTCTGCAGATAAAAATAAGTCAAAACGTTTGTACAAATGTATGTCCTAAAACGCTTAGTTTTGGTGATACAGGGTGTAAAAATTTTATTTTTATTTCGATTTTTTCCAAATCATTTTTGAAGTAACGTCAATATTTGGATGAAAATTGGTGTCTGTTTTTTTTTGACATGAGAAATTTGATTTTGATATCAATATGACTCCTACTTGTAGAAGGCCACCTACATATTTTTTTACTGGTTTGGAGAGCAATAACTTTTCGTCCGTACCAGTATAAAACAATTGAGTTAAAAAATATTATGTTTACGACGTTTTTTACGTAAAAAAAGTCTCTTGGTAAACATCGCTACGAGTCTTATGGTTCTCCAGATATTTGAAATCGAAATTGTCAATACCTGTCATCATTGACATAAATTAAACATGTTGACTAAATAGTTATCAGACTGAAATAATAAATTTGAAATGTTTTTGCCAAAAGTTCAACAGAAACTGTTTTATCATCATTTGTTCGAAGAACAATTTTATGATTTATTTAAAAAACTAAAAAGTTCCCAACTTTTTTACATATTTTTATCTGCAGAATATGCTGACAAAGTTTCCGGAATACAGTTCAGACCACCCTGTATTTTCTATTCAAACATTGAGAATATTTACATGATCTTTTAACTAGCAAATTCACAATATGTTATTCACAAATGAGGAAGTTGATGTAGACAAAATACTATGTCTACATTTAATATCGGCACACAGGACAGAAAGCTTGCAACCTCCAAAAAGACCATCAGCTGTCATGTGTAAGATCCATAGTCCTTTGGAAAGATTACTGGACAGGTCTAAACGTAAACATATTCATTTAGAACAGAAAATGACCAGTATTTTACCAATATACACGCTAGGTGTGTACTATAGTACTAGAATAATGCGAGAACACTAAAAAAACACACTTTTTATTTGATAGAAACTGAAGCAGAACGATTTAACACCCCAATCAACGATGGTCGACTTGCAACTCGGTTACTGCTCAATGAAAAAATCAGAGAACTGATCAACACAGTGCTGAACGCGCTGAGACAGTCCAACCCTGAGAAAAACTACGAAATTTTCGAAATGGCTAACGACATAAGCGTTTTGAAGAAGACTCTTTACCAAAAGGCATATTTTAGATTTCTTGGAAGATCTCATGGAATTGCCGTTGATAAACAAGTAATGAATCGATAATTTAGATATTAATTTATACAGGGTAACACCCAAAAACACTCTGTTGATTCTGTATTAGTGATGGGGATTACGATTCTTTTTAATGAATTGAATCACGCTATTCAATTTCTCATAGAATGTAGAATGTTTGAGTTCTTGCTTGTTCTTACTTAAATCTAAAATCTAAAATGTCAAAATTCCATGGGTATAGTGATAAACGAGGTCTAAATTATAAGAAAATGCATTTTCTACGAAAACTTGAACAGATAGGTAAACAATTCTATAATACAATTTGATAGACAATTAAATTGTTCATTTGATTCACGTAAAATATACAGGGTGTTTCATTTAAATTAAACAAATTATTGCCGTTTAATGCTAATAATTATTTAATATAAATTTTTGGACACTCTGTATAGGGTAGTTTAATTTTTATTATTGCAACACAATATCTGATCAATAAATAATCTTCAGTAAATATTTAATATTAAAAACTTCGCGATATTCTTGCAGAAATGAAGCCTTAAAATTTTTACTGCAATTTCACAAAATTAAAAATATTTCAAAAACGGTAAGGCTTAAGTGTGATAAACCTTATTAAAATTTATCTTTATTTAAATCGTAAAATCTAAAAATAGAATAATATACAGGGTGTTCCGTTTAAAAAATACAACTATAATATTTTTTTCTTATTCGGGACATTCTGTATCTTGTAAAATTATTTTTAAATTGTGGCTCTAATAGTTCTTCAACGAACCCAAAACTTACAATTTGTTAAAATCTAATTATTTAACTAAAATACAACTATACTAATTTTTACTTATTTGGGACACTGTGTGTCTTGTAAAAGTATTTTTTCTAATAGTCCTTCAACGAACCCAAAACTTATGGAGTTTTCACCAAGAAAAAAAAGAATTCCTTCTGTATATTTTGACGTTGTCTTTGTCAATTTGGCACTTAAATTGGTCATTTTTGTCACTCATATTATTCGCAACATGCAAAAAATATGTAAAAAATTATAATGTAAAAATAAATAACTTTTCAGCTGCGAATCGTTCGTACTGACTGCACCCTTTCGCGTCAAATCCACGCAGCTCGAGATCAAAACGCTGACCGGGTCTGTGGAACAGTTCGTGAGGCAAATTCGGCAGAATGTACTCCAGATACCGGTACGACCGAAACTAGAAACCTCGGAAGACGTGAAATTCGAACCAAGCACCAAGAAAATCACCAAGTATCGTACAAAAATGTCTTCGAGGGTGAAAAGAAGATCTACCGACGAAAGTATATAAGTTTTTTGGGTGTTTTTTTTTGGTTTATACGGTTTATTTGTAGGTGTTGTCAAAGATGCGGAATTCTCTTTTAATGATCGATCTGAGAGGAGGTTTTCCGACCCCGAGAAAAAAGTTGGCAGACATACGGACAAAAATTTTATCCAGAAAAATATTCAGCATGCGGCTACGGTTAGGAAAATAGAGTACGATACTGGTAGGGTAGTTTTTTTCTCTAAATCTACAGGGTGTTCCTTATATATACGACTTTGTTTTATTTACGTATAGACGAAGACGAAAACCCATCAGACAAAAGAAGAAGATCGAGCCAGAGTTCGAACAAACCTCGCAGGAGAAGTAGTGATTCGCCACCGGCCAGCATTGCTGACAGACCCGACCTACAACCGGTGAAACTATCCGAAGATGTGGTGGCCATTTTGGAGGATATGGCCAAGGAGGGCGAGGATAAAACGGAAAAACCTAAGCTCGTTGAGGAGAAAGTGTCCGAAAACAAGCCAGAGGAAAAGTGAGTTGGAAAAATTGCGATTTTTCAGAGAAAGAATACATGATTGTTTTTAGAGCTAGACGTAGTGCAGATGAGAGTGGATTTGGTGGTAGAATTGTGGTGCAGGATCATATGAGGATACATTTGAAGCAAACCACTTGTCCCGCTTGCATGGAGAAGTACAGGATTCCTTTGCCAACGCCCAAGACACCGCGTGTAAAGGTTCAGTATTAAATACCATTTAGTTTTGTTTTCGACTTTTTTGATATCTTGACACAACAGTTAGACAAATTATTGCCTTATTTGACTTATTCAGTAAAATAAAAAGGGTTAAAAAGGGTTTCTATTATATTTTTGCAGCCATCTTCAGTAATACCACTAGCGCCAGGCGAAAATCCCGATTTAAAAACGAACAGTCAACACCGCCTGTCAATGCTGATCAACAAGGAAATGTTCAAATTGCAATCGTACGAAAGAAGATTTTCTTCTGACGAAAATTCAAGGTACGTCGTTTTTTCCTCAATGCGTTTCTGTTAGGGATGTTCAAAACTATCGATATATTTGGCTTTAAGATATCGATACATAGGGTGTCTTAAATAAACTCAAGTATTTTTAAAGGGTGGTAGATCTAGGCTAAAAAAAGTACTTATTATATAAGTACATTTTTACTCCGAATAGAATATGCTATTATTTTATTCAAACGTTCACAAATAATTTTTTAAACAATTTCAAACGTTGCAAATAATATAAAAGTAATTCCTTCCGCCTAAAAATTAATACTTTTGTGACGTTTAAAAAACGCATACTAGTTGTACTTAATTTAGGCTTAATTTAATGTAAAAATGTCAAAAGTTTGCAAGCTAACTGTATATTATTTATTTTATTAAGTTCATTCTCTGGTTACTTACGTCTTGACTGTATCGATATTTTTTCTTAAAAGCCTATCCCTACTGCTTGTTTAGAAGATCGATAGGTCCGCTTTTCTAGCGCGCACAATATAAGGCCTTATTGTGCGTTTCAGGAGGAACAGCTTAAGGAAGCAAGAGCTGGAATCCTGCTCCTCGGAATATTTGAACCTGTCGCCGCTGGAATTAGCTAAGATCGAACTAGAAATAAAAGAGAAAGAAACCCAGAAGAAACTCCAAAAATTCCTCGGGGAATAGAGAGATTCCAGCGCGGTTTTGTACCGGTTTATTTTTGTTATATACATGCCGATGTACTCTACACTTTCATTTTACCTAATAAATATCATCAACTGATTTTCTTTTAATTTGTTTTTTTTTCAATCTTTTATACAACTTTAGCTAGGACTTTTTTCTTACTTCGACATGCGTCTTCCATAGAAATTAGAAAGCTGCCTAAGATCATCGTTTTCTCGATTTTTTCAACGATTTCGGCTAGAAGTTCCCCTGTTTTTTTTATCTTGACGATGCTAATATTCTATAAACGCTCTACAAGCACTTACGAAACCTGCCTACATTACCTGTATAACAACCTCTTTGCTTTGCCTGCCGGCATTACCATTTTTCATAAAATTTCCTCTACAAGAAATATTATAAATAATCCTGTATGTCATGCAATATTAAGAAAATACTATTATTTTAATTACATTTTTTCACACGATTTCCTTTATGATTTCCCCTGACTAGTAGTTGTTGGTCACGTAATTTTTCATAAAATTTCCTCTACGGATAAAAATAATCCTGTATATCTTACAACAGTATTAAACATAAAGTATATTTAAGCAGAAATGGGCATAAAAAGTTAGTTTGCTCAAGTTTTCACATGATTTCCGCTAGGATTTTCCTTGTTTTTTATCTCAACGATGCTAATATTCGATTAACGCTTGATTTGCCTGCTGGCATTACCATTTTTCATAAAATTTCCTCTTCGAGAAATATAAATAATCCTGTATGTCATGCAATATTAAGAAATTACTGTTATTTTAATTATTACATTTTTTCACACGATTTCCGTTATGATTTCCTTTGACTAGTTGTTGTTGGTCACGTAATATTTCATAAAATTTCCTCTACAGATAAAAATAATCCTGTATATCTTACAACAGTTTTAAATATAAAGCATATTTAAGTAAAAATGGGCATAAAAAGTTAGTTAGCTCAAGTTTTCACACGATTTCCGCTAGGATTTTCCCTGTTCTTTTATCTCATGATGCATGTCGTGCAATATCAAGAAATTTAAAGCATAATCTAATATCTAACCAAAAAAAGGGCAGAAACAGTTAGTTTTCACACGATTTCCCCTGATCTTAATCCGAGCGATTCTATCAGCGCTTTAGGCGCGCATACCACGGCTTCTGACTTCACCTGAATGACCTTCCTGGTGCCAAATTCAATTAAAAAAAATTTGTCATAAAATTTCCCCTATAAAAAAAAATATAATCCTGAATGTCGTACAATATCAAGAAATTTCAGGTATATCTAACCAAAAAAAGGGCATAAAAAGTTAGTTTTCGAAATTTTTCACACGATTTCCGCTACGATTTCCCCTGATCTTAATCCTGCAACGATTCTATCAGGGCTCTAGGCGCGCTTACGACCGCTGCCGATGTAACCCGAACGACCTTCCTGCGCCCGAATTCGGTTAAAACAACCGCGACTACCTGTTGACGGCGGCGGTGAAGTCATGGCAACGCAATGCGTCCGGGGATTCTGCGAACCGCTCGCTGCTGCCGCGGCCTGCTGCGTTGTTAATCTCGTAGCGGCCTTTGCTGCCGCTGTGGTCTGCCCGTTACTGCTGCCGAAGAAAAATCGCCGTCGTCTGTGTCGCTTTTGAGAGGTTATGGTGTGTCTGTCTCGGCGCGACTACACATTATACGTATACGCGTAGATTTTTAGTATTTTAGTGCGCGGTACAGTGTTTTATCTGTGTGGTTTTTTAGGATTTTACGGTTTTATTAAGGTATATAATACTGGTTTTAGGGTACTATTAATTTATATTCGGTTCCTGTGGACTTAAAGTGTATGTGTATTAGATTTCGTTCTTATGGTGGATTAACTTTAACAGTTCTTAAGTGAGTATGGATTCTTTATCGATTATTTTTGGAGTAGATTATTAATATTGATTTTATTGGTCCAATTTGGAACAAGTAATAGTAAGATAGAGTTTTTTTATTTTTGATTGTTTTTTCGTTAAATGGCTTTCATAGATATTGCAAAAAACTATAGAATATCATCATTTTTTCAATTTTTCACAGGATTTCCGCTTATAATTTTTGATATTTTTTGTCCGTGTATAAAAAAAATCATATAAAAATTTACAAAATTGCAGTTTTTAAATTTTCATATGATTTCCTCTAAAGGATTTCCTCTGTGTAATCTTTATTTGACTAGTATAAGCCTAAAATACATGAAGTATTATCTGTTCTTAAATAATTATAGATTCTATATCAATTAATTTTGGGGGATATAGATAACAGAAAATATAATATACTTCCCTCTAATCAACGAATAATAATAAAAAATACTAAATTTTAAATAAAAAGAACATTTAGATAAATTTATATACGATTATTTACTTCAAAAATATAGAAATGTTTCATTAAACAAATAAGTAAAGGTTATTTAGGAATAATTCTCAATTTTGTTACTTTTCTCTCTTTATTTCTGAAAAAAAAACACATCTAGATCTAATACAGAACAGCTTTTCTAGTATGTAGATGTTCAAAGAGCATATTTCATGATCTAATTCAATGTTGTTATATTTAATTTGCAAATAAACCACTGAAAAACGAAATGTAAAAAATTAAACATCAACGTGCGCATAGACAACGAACCTCTCGCATCGCTTAAAATTAGTTTTTTCCATTTTGTACATGATTTCCTCAATGATTTCCCCCTGGATTTAGTTTAAGCACTAGAAAATGTAATTTTCTCACATAAATTTAATTAACAACACAAATTTAATTAACAAATGAAAATAATATGCAAAAATTACAAGTATTTAAAGCTGTATTTTGTTCAGGAAAAGTTGCCTTCATTTTGCACACGATTTCCTTTATTATTTCCCCTTGGATTTAGTTCAAATACTAGAGAATGTATTATAATCTTAACGTAATGACATAAACTTAATTAATAATGGAGATATCCAAAAATTACAAGTATTTATAGCTGTATTTTGTTCAAGAAAAGTTGTCTCCATTTTGCACATGATTTCCTTTATTATTTCCCCTTTGATTTAGTTTAAGTACTAGAAAATGTATTATAACCTTAACATAATTACACAAATTTAATTAACAAATGGAAATATGCAAAAATTACAAGTATTTAAAGCTGTATTTTTATTCCGGAAAAGCTGCCTTTATTTTGCACACGATTTCCTCTATTATTTCCCCTTGGATTTAGTTCAAATACTAGAGAATGTATTATAATCTTAACGTAATGACACAAACTTAATTAATAATGGAGATATCCAAAAATTACAAGTATTTATAGCTGTATTTTGTTCAAGAAAAGTTGTCTCCATTTTGCACATGATTTCCTTTATTATTTCCCCTTTGATTTAGTTTAAGTACTAGAAAATGTATTATAACCTTAACATAATTACACAAATTTAATTAACAAATGGAAATATGCAAAAATTACAAGTATTTAAAGCTGTATTTTGTTCAGGAAAAGTTGCCTTCATTTTGCACACGATTTCCTCTATTATTTCCTTTTGGATTTAGTTCAAATACTAGAGAATGTATTATAATCTTAACGTAATGACACATACTTAATTAATAATAGAGATATCCAAAAATTACAAGTATTTATAGCTGTATTTTGTTCAAGAAAAGTTGTCTCCATTTTGCACATGATTTCCTCTATTATTTCCCCTTGGATTTAGTTTAAATACTAGAGAATGTATTATAATCTTAACGTAATGACACAAACTTAATTAATATTGAAAATATACAAAATTACAAGTATTTAAAGCTGTATTTATTTTAGAAATCTCCTAGTTCGGGATAATTTAACAGCTAGATTTAGTAACTCGTATTGGAGGTTGAAACAGGTCGATTTTACGTAGAAATAATTGATATGTGTTTGTAAAAATGGCGAATAAAATGTCCGTTACCGTCCTAGTGGTCGGTCTGAAAACGTACCATCGAGAAGAGATAGTTGGAGATCTTATACAAGGCCACCAGCATTTACATTCAGAAAACGATCTACCTGCAAGTCGCGGCCGATGAAGAAATTCCTTTCGACTTGATCATGTTGTGTTTTTGATCGGATATAACTATTAAAACGGTCGAGACGGTACGGGGCTATTGCCGATCGAAATGTCATTTTTGAATGAATAAAATTGTGTAGAAGTGCGCTATCTAAAATTCACCTTGGAACAAATAGAAAATTTCATAAACTATACTCGCCAGCACAAAAATTCGGCCACCTAAAAATTTGACTAAATTTGATGTTTCATAACTTTTTATTTTGTAATCTGAGTTTTATGATTATGGTATCAGTGTGAAGATAAATTTATTGGCATTATTTTTCAAGTCACAATTAGGTTTTTGCTGAATACACATGTAAAATTTGAACAATTTTGAACGAGAAGATTTTAAGTAATTTAAGAAAAACTGCATCTATTTTAAAATAAAATCTGAACAGGTAACGTTGCAAAACCAGGCAAACGTCAAATTATAAAAATACAAAAAGTTCAAGATGCTCGTTTTGAGCTTGTTTCCTTTAACTAAAGTACTTTAATTTGTTTTGTTTTAAAGAAAACTAAAAACTGAACTGGTCGAAATAAACTAAATTGCCGTATGAGTGTTTACAACGTCTACCCATGATACTATTAAGTAATTTAGCGGTATCCCAGCCTGACTGGCGTGGGAAATGTTTGTATTATGTGGAAAAACACACGGAAAGGAAACATGTTTCCTTTTTTTATTAATTCTCGCATATTAGACACCGTATAATAGCGATGTTTTGTAAAAAAGTGAAAACGATGTGAGAACAATAAGATGCATTGGTTGCATTTGTATTTCAAACTATAGCTGGAACTATATACGACCGAAATTGAAGATGGAGAACTAACTTCTTTAAAACCGTCTCAAATATTGCCTTTTATCAAAGCCCTGAGACTGTATGATGAGTTTTAACTCAACAAAAGAAGACACTAAAAAATAAAAAAGATAAAAATTAAAAAATAAAAAAATAAAAAATAAAAAATAAAATAAAAAAAATAAAAAAAAAAAAAAAAAAAATAAAAAAGAGATCTATAAAATTCCGGTAATTAACGCGACTTTGTTTATATCTGTGTATTTAGGTTATTAAAAAGACCAAGAAAAACAGCTAAAACGCATTTTTTCTACATTTTTTTGCAGAGCAAGATCTAGTTTCCGACGCGGATTTCTGAATAATGTCAAGATGAGTAGGAACGCGATCGAGGCAGTACCAAAATGACCGCGTGGGCAGTATATACGGCGAATTTTAGCCAACGAGTTGTGTGTTGTTTAAAAAAATATATAAAAAGCAACACAACAACTCTCTTTAAATATCTTTAACGGTTCTTCGAATACCACGGGCCCGTCGTAAAGAAGCCATCCGTTCGACTTGTAACAAGAATTTCGAAGAAATTTTACCATCTATGCATATAAATAACGTATATCTTGCCTGTTACTAACTTTTCGTAATTACTAACAGGCTGTTAGTCACTATAAAATGGATTTTTCAAAGTTTATTCATAACACAATATTTTTTGAGGGCTAAAAAGTTTTTAAGCCTTCAAACAGCTTTAATTTTTTGTTGTATCCATTTGAGAAGCTTTTAGGAAAAGGAATAAGATATCCACGTTCAAAATCGTTTCTTTCTCGAATATCTTCGTAACTAGTCGTTTTTTGGGGGGGGGGCACAGTGTATTTGAATCACTCTGTATATCTATGAAAAACGATTTGAGTGAAAATAGAAATCATGATATGGATCTTTTTACTGGTTCACCCTATAGATTGTCACAATATATTTTTTTATATGCGAAGTAATCAAAATATTACGATAAATATTATTATTTTCATGATCTCTACGAACAAATAAAATATACTCCAGCCTGATAATTTATCCTGTCATTTTTTGGATTCTTGTTGGTACTACAAAATCGTACCAGATTACATAATGGCAGTACTGGGTGCTCGTGTAATTCCATACCATTTTGAAGCCCAGTTACACCTCTATAACTGTACGCCATAACCTTGTGTCTTTCATTATGCGTTGATTTTTTTCATTTTTGTTTTAATCCCCGGTCTTTATTCTTCATTTCATTAAGGTATCTTATAATAATAGAACCAGGGGTTCTTGACAAAGAACCTTCTAAAAGACCTGTATTTTTTTTATTTATGGGTAGCCAACAAATATGAAAATAAAATATAGGGTTTTCTTCAAACATAAAAAAAATATCTAATAAAATAGCATTAACAGCATTTTTTATGTCTATATCTGGTTTGTATATCTTGGGTACCATCATTTTATACTGTAAGGTTTGTCCATTTGTATTATTTGTCTTCTTCTTGAATATTATATGCAAGAAATCTCCTATAAATAAAATACAATGTTTTTAATTTTTCATGATACAGGTACTAACTACAATAAGAGTAAATATGTGTAAATTTATGGGCTATAAAGTAAGAACTATAGGTAGGAGTACCTCTATATACATCTGTAGTCAACAAACACTTCCTAGAGCTTCCTTATAGTCGTATATATGTCTGTGGTACTGTCCACCACTTGTATATACAGCCACAGTACTATTAAAATATCTTATAACTGTCCTAACTGTAACCGAGTTTTTATCTTATATTTTGTGCGAATACGTACTTCTGGTACGTTGAACGTACCTGCTTGGGTACTAGATAAAACAGGTACTTTTATTTGTAGAAGTATGAATATGCAAATGTAGAGATGCAGTACTTAACATTATTAATGTTTAACATCTGCAAATATATTCATTTATGTTTTTGCATATTATAAAAAAAAATCAAGTATATCCCTATTCTAGTACATTTTTAGATGATACAAGTTTTTTGTGTTAATGTTTATACAATAATTATACAAGCAAGCAGCTTCAAACAAACAAAACCAACTATTAATAAGCTATAATTCAGTCAAAAACGACCTCTGAAATAAATCTTCTATCATAACTGTATTGGATTTTTTTCTATTTGTATTTATCTCGATGTGTTGCACATATTTACGTTCTTTTTCTATTCTATCGTAGACCTTTCACTGCGATCAAGCTCGCATACAGGGTGTTGTGACCAACAGAAACAGATATGTCTCTAATAAATGAACTGGAACTGGGTTTCTTTTAATATTGACAAAAAATCTTTGATATATTTTTTAAATTATTAAAGATAATTAAAGAAACATACATGATTGTTCAATGTCTTCTTTAAAATGTAGACGTTTGATTATTGCCTTTTAAAAAATAATATGTATACAGGAAGATTCAATGTTCTTGACAAAAGATCGTCTATATATTTATTCAAAAAAAAATAATTAAATCAACAAAATTCAAATTTTTCGAAATTTATAAATTATTGGTAAACTATAGATTTCTTTTTGTGATTCGCCCCGTATATGGAGGAATGAAAGGACGACCATCGAGGTTACAAAACAGGTCGCACAGAGTGTTTTGCAGTGACAGGTGAGCTTTAACATAGCCCCAAGTGTTACAAAGATTATGTTTAAAATTTCGTAACGTTTTTCCAGTCAGACTGGTTTCAGATTAATATATTAAAATTTATATTTTTCGGCCATATTATTCGATCCACAAGCTTAAAGTAAAACATTTCATTAAAAAAAGTAGTGTTTAATTCAACCAGTTTATTTTTAAGAGAAGAAAATCAGTTTATTTTAATGTTGATCCAACTATACAGGGTGTTCCTTAATGACATGCTAATATTTAAGGGCGCGATTCTTGGACCCATTCTAAGAGAAAAGTTCATATGAACATAAATATGTACTAAACATCTTAATTTCTGAGATACAGGATGGTAAATTTTATCTTAACTTAGTCATCTTCAGTTTTTTTGGGATGGATGTGAAGTCTATGAACGAAAATACATTATTTATTGATTTACCGACTTATTGATTTATCGATTTATTGATTTATTGACTTATTGATTTATCGTCTGTGTCGCTTTTGAGAGGTTATGGTGTGTCTGTCTCGGCGCGACTACACATTATACGTATACGCGTAGATTTTTAGTATTTTAGTGCGCGGTACAGTGTTTTATCTGTGTGGTTTTTTAGGATTTTACGGTTTTATTAAGGTATATCATACTGGTTTTAGGGTACTATTAATTTATATTCGGTTCCTGTGGACTTAAAGTGTATGTGTATTAGATTTCGTTCTTATGGTGGATTAACTTTAACAGTTCTTAAGTGAGTATGGATTCTTTATCGATTATTTTTGTAGTAGATTATTAATATTGATTTTATTGGTCCAATTTTGAACAAGTAATAGTAAGATAGAGTTTTTTTTATTCTTGATTGTTTTTTCACTATCTGGCTTTCATAGATACTGCAAAAAACTATAGAATATCATCATTTTTTCAATTTTTCACAGGATTTCCGTTTATAATTTTTGATATTTTTTGTCCGTGTATAAAAAATCATATAAAAATTTAAAAAATCGCAGTTTTTTAATTTTCATAGGATTTCCTCTATAGGATTTCCTCTATGTAATCTTTATTTGACTAGTATAAGCCTAAAATACATGAAGTATTATCTGTTCTTAAGTAATTTTATATGGATTCTATATTAATTTTGGGGGGTATTGATAACAGAAAAAATAATATACTTCCCTCTAATCAACGAATAATGATAAAAAATACTAAATGTTAAATAAAAACAACATTTAGGTAAATATATACATCTATACAGTTGTTTGCTTCAAAAGTATAGAAATGTATCATTACTTTTCTCTCTTTATTTCTGAAAAAAAACATCTAGATCTAATATAGAACAGTTTTTCTAGTATAGAGATGTTCAAAGAACATATTTTATTATCTAATTCAATGTTGTTATGTTTAATTGGCAAATAAACCATTGAAAATGAAATGTATAAAATTTGATATCAACGTGCGCATAGACAACGAACCTCTCGCATCGCTTAAAATTACTTTTCTCCATTTTGCACATGATTTCCTCTACGATTTCCCCCTGGATTTAGTTCAAATAATAATTTAGGATTTAGTTCAAATTTAATTAACAAATGAAAATATGCAAAAATTACAAGTATTTAAAGCTGTATTTTGTTCAGGAAAAGTTGCCTTCATTTTGCACACGATTTCCTCTATTATTTCCTCTTGGATTTAGTTCAAATACTAGAGAATGTATTATAATCTTAACATAATGACACAAACTTAATTCATAATGGAGATATCCAAAAATTACAAGTATTTATAGCTGTATTTTGTTCAAGAAAAGTTGTCTCCATTTTGCACATGATTTCCTTTATTATTTCCCCTTTGATTTAGTTAAGTACTAGAAAATGTATTATAACCTTAACATAATTACACAAATTTAATTAACAAATGGAAATATGCAAAAATTACAAGTATTTAAAGCTATATTTTGTTCAGGAAAAGTTGCCTTCATTTTGCACACGATTTCCTCTATTATTTCCTTTTGGATTTAGTTCAAATACTAGAGAATGTATTATAATCTTAACGTAATGACACATACTTAATTAATAATAGAGATATCCAAAAATTACAAGTATTTATAGCTGTATTTTGTTCAAGAAAAGTTGTCTCCATTTTGCACATGATTTCCTCTATTATTTCCCCTTGGATTTAGTTTAAATACTAGAGAATGTATTATAATCTTAACGTAATGACACAAACTTAATTAATATTGAAAATATACAAAAATTACAAGTATTTAAAGCTGTATTTATTTTAGAAATCTCCTAGTTCGGGATAATTTAACAGCTAGATTTAGTAACTCGTATTGGAGGTTGAAACAGGTCGATTTTACGTAGAAATAATTGATATGTGTTTGTAAAAATGGCGAATAAAATGTCCGTTACCGTCCTAGTGGTCGGTCTGAAAACGTACCATCGAGAAGAGATAGTTGGAGATCTTATACAAGGCCACCAGCATTTACATTCAGAAAACGATCTACCTGCAAGTCGCGGCCGATGAAGAAATTCCTTTCGACTTGATCATGTTGTGTTTTTGATCGGATATAACTATTAAAACGGTCGAGACGGTACGGGGCTATTGCCGATCGAAATGTCATTTTTGAATGAATAAAATTGTGTAGAAGTGCGCTATCTAAAATTCACCTTGGAACAAATAGAAAATTTCATAAACTATACTCGCCAGCACAAAAAATTCGGCCACCCTAAAAATTTGACTAAATTTGATGTTTCATAACTTTTTATTTTGTAATCTGAGTTTTATGATTATGGTATCAGTGTGAAGATAAATTTATTGGCATTATTTTTTCAAGTCACAATTAGGTTTTTTGCTGAATACACATGTAAAATTTGAACAATTTTGAACGAGAAGATTTTAAGTAATTTAAGAAAAACTGCATCTATTTTAAAATAAAATCTGAACAGGTAACGTTGCAAAACCAGGCAAACGTCAAATTATAAAAATACAAAAAGTTCAAGATGCTCGTTTTTGAGCTTGTTTCCCTTTAACTAAAGTACTTTAATTTGTTTTGTTTTAAAGAAAACTAAAAACTGAACTGGTCGAAATAAACTAAATTGCCGTATGAGTGTTTACAACGTCTACCCATGATACTATTAAGTAATTTAGCGGTATCCCAGCCTGACTGGCGTGGGAAATGTTTGTATTATGTGGAAAAACACACGGAAAGGAAACATGTTTCCTTTTTTTTATTAATTCTCGCATATTAGACACCGTATAATAGCGATGTTTTGTAAAAAAAGTGAAAACGATGTGAGAACAATAAGATGCATTGGTTGCATTTGTATTTCAAACTATAGCTGGAACTATATACGACCGAAATTGAAGATGGAGAACTAACTTCTTTAAAACCGTCTCAAATATTGCCTTTTATCAAAGCCCTGAGACTGTATGATGAGTTTTAACTCAACAAAAGAAGACACTAAAAAATAAAAAAGATAAAAATTAAAAAATAAAAAAAAATAAAAAAAATAAAAAATAAAATAAAAAAAAATAAAAAATAAATAAAAAAATAAAAAAGAGATCTATAAAATTCCGGTAATTAACGCGACTTTGTTTATATCTGTGTATTTAGGTTATTAAAAAGACCAAGAAAAACAGCTAAAACGCATTTTTTTCTACATTTTTTGCAGAGCAAGATCTAGTTTCCGACGCGGATTTCTGAATAATGTCAAGATGAGTAGGAACGCGATCGAGGCAGTACCAAAATGACCGCGTGGGCAGTATATACGGCGAATTTTAGCCAACGAGTTGTGTGTTGTTTAAAAAAATATATAAAAGCAACACAACAACTCTCTTTAAATATCTTTAACGGTTCTTCGAATACCACGGGCCCGTCGTAAAGAAGCCATCCGTTCGACTTGTAACAAGAATTTCGAAGAAATTTTACCATCTATGCATATAAATAACGTATATCTTGCCTGTTACTAACTTTTCGTAATTACTAACAGGCTGTTAGTCACTATAAAATGGATTTTTCAAAGTTTATTCATAACACAATATTTTTTGAGGGCTAAAAAAGTTTTTTAAGCCTTCAAACAGCTTTGAATTTTTGTTGTATCCATTTGAGAAGCTTTTAGGAAAAGGAATAAGATATCCACGTTCAAAATCGTTTCTTTCTCGAATATCTTCGTAACTAGTCGTTTTTTTGGGGGGGGGGGGGCACAGTGTATTTGAATCACTCTGTATATCTATGAAAAACGATTTGAGTGAAAATAGAAATCATGATATGGATCTTTTTACTGGTTCACCCTATAGATTGTCACAATATATTTTTTTATATGCGAAGTAATCAAAATATTACGATAAATATTATTATTTTCATGATCTCTACGAACAAATAAAATATACTCCAGCCTGATAATTTATCCTGTCATTTTTTTGGATTCTTGTTGGTACTACAAAATCGTACCAGATTACATAATGGCAGTACTGGGTGCTCGTGTAATTCCATACCATTTTGAAGCCCAGTTACACCTCTATAACTGTACGCCATAACCTTGTGTCTTTCATTATGCGTTGATTTTTTTTCATTTTTTGTTTTAATCCCCGGTCTTTATTCTTCATTTCATTAAGGTATCTTATAATAATAGAACCAGGGGTTCTTGACAAAGAACCTTCTAAAAGACCTGTATTTTTTTTATTTATGGGTAGCCAACAAATATGAAAATAAAATATAGGGTTTTCTTCAAACATAAAAAAAATATCTAATAAAATAGCATTAACAGCATTTTTATGTCTATATCTGGTTTGTATATCTTGGGTACCATCATTTTATACTGTAAGGTTTGTCCATTTGTATTATTTGTCTTCTTCTTGAATATTATATGCAAGAAATCTCCTATAAATAAAATACAATGTTTTTAATTTTTCATGATACAGGTACTAACTACAATAAGAGTAAATATGTGTAAATTTATGGGCTATAAAGTAAGAACTATAGGTAGGAGTACCTCTATATACATCTGTAGTCAACAAACACTTCCTAGAGCTTCCTTATAGTCGTATATATGTCTGTGGTACTGTCCACCACTTGTATATACAGCCACAGTACTATTAAAATATCTTATAACTGTCCTAACTGTAACCGAGTTTTATCTTATATTTTGTGCGAATACGTACTTCTGGTACGTTGAACGTACCTGCTTGGGTACTAGATAAAACAGGTACTTTTATTTGTAGAAGTATGAATATGCAAATGTAGAGATGCAGTACTTAACATTATTAATGTTTAACATCTGCAAATATATTCATTTATGTTTTGCATATTATAAAAAAAATCAAGTATATCCCTATTCTAGTACATTTTTAGATGATACAAGTTTTTTTGTGTTAATGTTTATACAATAATTATACAAGCAAGCAGCTTCAAACAAACAAAACCAACTATTAATAAGCTATAATTCAGTCAAAAACGACCTCTGAAATAAATCTTCTATCATAACTGTATTGGATTTTTTTTCTATTTGTATTTATCTCGATGTGTTGCACATATTTACGTTCTTTTTCTATTCTATCGTAGACCTTTCACTGCGATCAAGCTCGCATACAGGGTGTTGTGACCAACGAAACAGATATGTCTCTAATAAATGAACTGGAACTGGGTTTCTTTTAATATTGACAAAAAAATCTTTGATATATTTTTTAAATTATTAAAGATAATTAAAGAAACATACATGATTGTTCAATGTCTTCTTTAAAATGTAGACGTTTGATTAT